CACCTTTGGGACATTTTGAATATCTGGTGATGCCTTTTGGGCTCACCAATGCCCCAGCAGTCTTCCAATCCCTCATTAATGACGTGCTACGTGATTTTCTGAACATTTTCGTCTTTGTCTACCTGGATGACATTCTCATCTACTCCAAGGACCCGACCCAACACATTCAACATGGTCGAGCTGTACTCCAGTTATCAAATAAGAGAAGATACTTCTGTTTTTATCTGATTTAGAAGGAAAGTGGCCTTGGGTGGCCTAAACACAGTTCTAAGTGGAACAGAATTTTGTCCATTCGAAGGCTCATCAGAGGACTGAAAGTCCAAGACAGTTTCTTGATAATTTGATTAGAGGTGACCCCTACACCAGGGACTCCATGAGAACCAACTCTTCGTAAAGGCCGAGAAATGTGAGTTTCATGTTCCTTCAGTGTCATTTTTAGGTTTCATTTTTGGACAAGGCTATTTTCAGACAGACACTCACAAAGTCAAGGCAGTGGCAGAGTGGCCCACCCCTACTGATCGACGTCGATTCCAGCGCTTCCTAGGCTTCGCCAACTTTTATCGGCGCTTCATCCAAAACTACAGTTGTGTAGCGGCACCATTAACTCAACTCACCTCATCTCTTAAGACCTTTGAGTGGAACTCACAAGCTGAATCTGCATTTGGTGAGTTAAAGAGAAGATTTATTTCTGCTCCAGTATTACATCACCCAATTCTAACTGAACAGTTCATTGTGGAGGTCGATGCCTCTGACACAGGAGTCAGGGCAGTATTATCACAAAGGTCTCTGTCTGACAAGAAAATGCACCCCTGTACTTACTTTTCACGTAGACTTTCTCCTTCAGAACACAACTATGACGTGGGAAACCGGGAACTGCTGGCAATCAAACTCGCACTTAAAGAATGGCGACACTGGTTAGAGGGAACTAAGTTACCATCCATTATCTGGACAGACCACAAAAATCTGGCTTAGACAGCTAAGAGATTAAACCCTCGCCAAGCACGATGGTCTTTRTTTTTCACTAGATTCAACTTTACTATAACCTACTGACCTGGCTCTCGTAATGTAAAATCTGATACACTCTCTCCACAGTTTTCCACAGATGGTCAGACCCCTAAGGAGGACAACATCCTACCGTCCATCTGTTTTGTAGGAGCTCTCACCTGGTCCATACAACAACTGGTTCAAGAAGCCCAAAGAACTGAACCGGACCCTGGTGGAGGCCCTCCTGACCGTCTCTTCGTCCCCATGGCCATTAAAAGTAAAGTATTGGAATGGTTGCATAATAATCAGTTCTCTTGTCACCCTGGTTCAAACCGAATGATCTCCCTGGCTGCAAGATATTTTTGGTGGCCCACTCTCATTAAAGATGTTAAAGAGTATGTGGCCTCATGTACCATCTGTGCTTGCAACAAAGTCTTCACATCAAGCCCCTGCCGGCCTACTGAAACCCTTACCCATTCCCGGACGACCTTGGTCACACATTGCCCTCGATTTTGTCACCGGTCTACCTCCATCTCAAGGTAACACTCCCATACTCACCATCATAGACTGTTTTTCCAAAATGGCACATTTCATAGCTCTACCTAAAYTCCCTACTGCTCTCAAAACTGCACAACTACTGGTTACCAATTTTGTTCGCATTCATGGTATTCCCCTGGACATAGTTTCTGACTGAGGACCGCAGTTTATCTCTCAAGTGTGGAAAGCTTTTTGTAACTCTTTGGGTGCCAATGTCAGTCTCTCTTCAGGTTACCATCCACAGACAAATGGTCAAACGGAGCGTTGTAATCAGGAGCTGGAGGCCATCCTTCGCTGTTTCTCCTACAAAAACCCTTCCAGTTGGTCACAACATCTCTGTTGGGTAGAGTATGCCCACAACACCCACACCTCTACCGCCACTGATTTATCTCCCTTCGAAGCTGCTCTGGGTTACAATCCACCTCTCTTTCCCTTGATGGAATCTGAATGTTTTGTCCCATCTGTGCAGCTCCATTTCCGCAGTCGTAGAAGGATCTGGCAACAGACAAAGGCTGCTCTTCTAAGGACTGCAGAACAAAATTAAAGAATAGCAGATCAACATCGTTCCATGGCTCCTGACTACCAAGTTGGTCAAAAGGTCTGGCTCTCCACTAAGGATATCCAACTGAAAGACCTCGGCAAGAAGATGTCTCCACGGTTCATTGGGCCATACCCAATTGAACGAATCATCAATTCATCCTCGGTACATCTAACCCTACCCAGATCCCTGCGCATTCACCCTACATTTCATGTTTCCCAGATCAAGCCTGTTGTTGAGAGCAAACTTTGCCCACCTGCTGACCTCCCACCTCCCACCTGTCTCGTTGATAACAACCCTGTCTACACGSTGAATCGCATCCTTGACTTTCGGAGAAGAGGAAGGGGGTTCCAGTATCTGGTCGATTGGGAGGGTTATGGACCAGAGGAATGATCCTGGATCCCTCCCTTATCTCTGACTTTTACAGAGCTCATCCAGAGAAGCGAYCTAGATCGCCTGGAGRCGATTCTTAGGAGGAGGGTACTGTGAAGAATCAGTTCTACCTGTGTTCCTGTGTGGTGATTGGTGATCTGACCCTGAGTACTCACACCTGTTGGATTTGWCTGATGATCAGCTGCAGCTTTATAAGCCTCCTCCATCAGWTGATCCACGCTGATGCRTCTAACCTTCATGGTAGTATCTTAGCTCCTAGATTCTATGTTAAAGAATRTATTTTGTATTTACCTCRTTCAWCCTTTGTCCAAGGTGGATTACCAGATCACAGAAGCCACACCTCATACTAAGAAGTCCTCACACCAAGTTGGGTCAGAAAACAAAGAASCTCACCACGGAACACTYACAGCCACTCTGCCTGAAGAACTGCCACCTGCCTTTGAAAAYCTCCTCCTTTGGAACTCTTCGCCTCTGGAAAATCTGTAAGAAAGAATCACATATTAACAAGAAAATATCTAAAACAAATTACTCTTCTAAGAACCAATACTCACCTTCTACATTCTCCTCCTTTTCAGCTGATGTCCAAAACCAAACTCCACCTGTAAATAAAACTGCACTTACCTTTTAACTGTTGTCTTGGTCTGGTCATTCAGCTCTGCTGCTTTTGTTGAACAATATGTCATCCTTGTCAGTATGCATCAGCCTACTGGTTCAACAAGCGGGGCTGAAGCCAAACCATTACAA